TCACCCCTCACCCTTTCCCGTCACCCTTCCTGTTCCCTCGCGCCCCTTTCCCTTACCTTCCATCTCCGTCCCCGTCCCCTTCCCGCCCTTACCTTCCCCCTCCTCCCCTCTTCCATCTCCGCAAATGTTCAATATGGATATGTTCACTCTCCTCTCTCTCCGGATTCTGTCCGAACGGGGCAGCCCTTCCCCCGCATATTGGTTGTAACACATCAGGCTTCAAGCCGTGGTTTGTCAGGTGCACCCTCCCATCGGAGCGCTATCGGGATTTGAGAATGGTGTTCCCGCTGCAGCAGCGGTCTGATTGCAGGACCGATGCTTCGCTCCTGTAGTTCACCGCGGCGTCTCGCCCCAGCGTGGGCCTCAATTCTGTGTCCGAGTCCTTCCTCGTCGTTGTCGCCCCGCCCGTTTCCCTTCCTCTGCCCCCCCCCCCTGGTCCCCCTGCTCCCGCTCCTCCTACCCTGTTCGTCCTCCTGCTTATCCGCTAGCTCATCCGCCACCCCCTCCTCAACCTCCTCCTCCAATGTGCGCACCTCCCCTTTTCTGATTGCGCACAACGCGATGGGGTCCTCGGGGGGGTCGAGGTTCGCCATCGCACCTGTGGGCGGATAAAGAGACATCAGCGCAACGGGAAGGAATGGGTGGGAGAAGCAGGAGGTCAGATGTGGTGGCAAGCGCGCTTCAGCGTCGTGCTAAGGCTCGGCGGCGCCATGGAAGGATTTTGAGGACGCGCGCTCTTCCTGGCATCAGATTCATCACCGAGAAGGTTTGGACTACTGGAGTTTACCCCTCTGCGAATTTTGGACACAAGATTCTACGCGCCCCACCTCCACAGGTTCTTGAGCTTCGCAGGGGTGCTGCATCGGCTTTGGCCGGTTCCACGAGGGGGAGGTGCTTCACATCAGTGTTGCAAGCCACCATGGGAGTGGCTGGTCTTGGCGTAGACCCCTCGGAGTGCAGATGCTGAAAGAGTGGATCGTGTTCTGGCTCCGACATCCTGGACTGCAGCCTCGTGTTCGTCGAGCGTGGCGGCATGTACGCGCTAAGCTACTACAGTACGCTAATCAGTGTGTGAAGTGGAAAGACGCACGTGGCCCTATTGCTGCAGCGTGGGCGACGATGATCCAGGTCGGATGAGAACCTCGCGAACCGAACGCGTGGCTCCGCCAAGGACCCGAAGGACCTGAGGAATAATGTTTGCCGTCTTTCGGTGATCCAAGCTTTGACGTCGCTGTGCTAGCGAACTAGTATGATATACTTGGCGACTTGATTGATGAGAGCATTTTGAGTTTCTGACAGTTTGCTTCCAAGCACCCTGCGGGCGATGACCTACATGATGATGCTGGTGCTGGCATGACGCTTTTGTCTCGTGAACTCGCTTGATCGCTGGTCTGCTAATCATACTGTTCTCGCGGGAGGGCAGTGGCCACGGCTGCGCCAACGTGAAGTTGGATATAGTTGCCTTGAGTTTTACACACGATGCACACGTGTTCCTGAGTGTTTATTTCATCGTATTTGGGCGTGCTTCGCCAACAACGGGCACGAGGACTTCACGTCCACCGACCCCCCCCCCTCCCGCAGCCGTGGCGGCCCATGAGGCGGAGCCAGGACTTTGGCATAGGGGGTTCCTTCGGAAGGAGCTCACGGCCCCTGAGCTTCGTGCGGGCCCGGATTTAAGCCATCAGGTCCTTCTGGCGGAAGTCAGGCTCCTGCAGCAGAGCTCGGCTTGCGACGGCAGGTCCCTGCATATTTTCGGGGGTGGTTCGGGAGGCGAGCTCAGTTCGGGACTGAGGCGCAGGCGCTGCCGTCGTCTTAGCGCTCCAGGCGCCTTCGGCTCGTCTCTGCGTCGGCGTCCTCTCTGCGGAGCTGCTGCGGCCCGCGTGGGCCGACGGCAAACGGCTCCGAGGGCCGACCTGCTCGCGCGTTGCCTGGCGGGTGGAGCGCGCCCGCGGGCCGATCGTGCTCGTCGCCGATGGTAAGGTCTCTGGCGTCGGACTGGGGCCTCGGCAGAGCGCAGGCCCCCAAGGGCGTGATCGGCGAACTCTGGGTTCGGATTGGTTCGGCCCTGGAATCTTGGGGCCCCGCCGAGGTCCCAGGGTGTGGGCGGAGTCCCACCTGGAAGGTGGCCCCGCCAGAATTCGGACGCCCGGGGAGGCCTTCCTCTGTCAAGGGAATGCCTGCGCGGATCAGTGGGCGGGGGTGGCGGCTCGTTGGTCTTGGGAGTTTGCGGTCGTGCAGCCACGTCCGCGCGCTGACTCCTATGATGAGGTAGCTGCCACGGTCCGTCGGAGGGCGCGGCGTGCTTTGTCAACTTCGTTGGAGGTTGAGCCTTGTGTCGAGTCCAGGCCGTCTAAGACGCGAGTCGCCACTCCCTCTAAAGCTGAGCTGGTTTTGGGCAAGAGCACATGAATTGAAACCCTTTGTAGACAGAAGGCGCTGCCAGCTTTGTGAGCAAATCGCTCACTTTTGGCCGTGGCGGTTTAGGTGTGTCCTCGTGCCATTGTCGCCGATGCTGGAACCGTGGATGCGTTGGCCGCGCCTGGCTTCGAGGACGGTCCCCTCTTCGAGCCGCCGCGTGGTGAGCAGTGCGTTGGGTGTGTTAGGCTGCACGATTCACATCAGTTGCACCTAACTGAGAGAGTTCGGCTGGAAGTTTGGTTCGGCGCGCGGCTTCACTGCCACTGCGGATGGCAGGAGTGCGCTGCGCGAGGTGACGAGCGCCGCACCAAGAAGGACCGGGAGAACCCTGCACGCATCGGAGGGAATGTGCTGCCGTCCCACAGGACCCCCTGCCGGGGCCCCTCTGGCGGCGGCCGCGGGCCGTGCGGCGTCGACGGCGGGTGCTGAAAGGGGGGGGTCCCCCCCGGGCCGTGCCACGGGCCCCTCCCGCGCGACGGGCATCCAGCGCGGTCCGCTCGCGGTGCACGGCCCCGGCATGGCGGTCAGCTCTCCGTGCGGCTGGCCCCCGGGGCGCCCCCGCCCGCGGGTGCTGCCGCCGCCTCTGCCGCGCTTCCTCGCCGCCGCCTCGAGGGCGGAGGAGGGTGTCACGGGTAGCAGCGAGGCGCGCGCGAGGTCTTGCGGTGGTGATGTGGGGGTCGGGGTGTTGCACGTGTGTGCGCCTCGGGCGGATCCGGGCGAATCCTCTCTCCCTCGTCTTCTCCTCCTCTGTCTGCCGCCCCCCTCCTGATCCCCATCTTGCCCCTCTCTCTGATCCTCATCCGCACTCCCGCCTCCCCCTCTGATTCCCGGCCTGCTCCTCCCCCTCCCCCTCCTCCTCCTCCTCCTCCTCCTCCTCCTCCTCCTCCTCCTCCTCCTCCTCCTCCTCCTCCTCCTCCTCCTCCTCCTCCCCCTCCCTCGTCCCCCTCCACAATTACTCAATATGAATATACTCTCCCTCTTCCCCTGATGGCGTCCGGGTGATGGCCGCGCACCCTCCGCGTATTGTTTTTTACGCACAGGATGCCCGGGAAATCCCGGGAAACGACTCTCGCTGAGGCGCCGGCGTCATTTTTTCCCAAAATGCTGCTCTCGCGCCGGCGGCGTTTTTCCCAAAATGCTGCTCTCGTTGAGGTGCCGGCCTCATTTCTGCTCCCGAATCTTCCCCTGATGGCGTCCGGGTGATGGCCGCGCACCCTCCGCGTACTGTTTCTTACACACAGGATGCCCGGGAAAAATCCCGGGAAACGACTCTCGCTGAGGCGCCGGCGTCATTTTTTCCCAAAATGCTGCTCTCGTTGAGGCGCCGGCCTCATTTCTGCTCCCGAATCGTTCCGAATCGTGCTCCCGCTGCAGCGTGGGCCTCATTTTCGGATCGGTGTTTGGCCTCCGTCGTTCAGGATGGCGTTCTCGCCCCAGCGCGGGCCTTTTTCTCGCGCGCCCATCCACCCGCCACCACCGCGCCGCACCGCCACCACCACCACCACCACCAGCACCACACCACCAGTACCAACACCACCACCACCAGCACCACCACCACCACCACCAGCACCACCACCACCACCATCACCACCACCACCCCACCACACGCCACCACCACGACAACCACGCACACACGCACGCACGCACGCACGTGCACCACCACCCACTACGCACGCGCGCGCGGCACAGGTCCGCTACGACACGCGTCCGCGGATAGAGAAATCAGCGCCATGGTAAGGGATGGGAGGGAGGGGTAGGACGTCAGATATGACGCGAGCGCACCTAGCTTATCACTCCCCCCCTCCCCCTCCCCCTCCCCCTCCCCCTCCGACGGCGACGCGCGGCCAGCGGGCCAGCGCGGGAGCACCGCCAGAGCGCAAGGCAGGTGCCACGGGGGCCCCCCGCCCCGTCACATCGACACCGCGCAGGCCCCGGGGGCGGCGAGCAAAGGGGGGGCGCGGTGGATACGTCGAGGAAGAACAACAAGATATAAACATAAACTTCTGGCGCTCCGCGCGGACTTCTTGGATCCGCGCCTGGGCCCCCCGGCGGCGCCTCCGGCGCCGCCCCTCGCGCGCTCTGGACCAGCGCGAATCCAAGAAATTATGCTTATGTGGTGTTTCTTCTTCCATAGATATAGTCAGCCCGCATAGAGAGGATGGGCAGCCTTCCCAAGGGGTCCCTTGCATCCGTGCCTTTTCGGCCCATCTTTGGCGGCCTCTTTCGTCGGCCGCGCCCCTCTCGCAAAACTTCGTAGTGGCCTTCCAGGGCCCTTGCATCCGCAGCGTGCGTACTTCTCATACGGGTGGCGACGGTTCACTTTCTGTGCCTTGGCCGGCCCCCGTGGGGCCCACAAGAGGCGCAAAAGGTGTGCGCGTTTCTCCCCCTCTCACCCCCATGTATCACCCCTCCCAGTCAATCTTCTTAAGTTAGGCCTGTCCCTCTACAGGGTGAAGAGTCAAAAATAGTCAAAAAATAGTCAGGGGACGATTTTTTGACCATGTTGAAGATTCTTGGGGCATCTTTGGAGTATTTGATTTATTCGGGGGACACGCCCGACCTAAAGCTAATCCACGCCCAAGGCCTACTCCAACGAGCGGGAGGTCGGCGCCGCCATCCGCGACAGCGGTGTGCCGAGGCCGGCGGGCGCCAGAGACGCGCGCCTGGGCTTCCCGGGCGGCCCCTGGGCTTCCCGGACCTCCTTTGGGGCTTCGGGATCGGTACCCAGGAGGGGGGGGGAGGAGGAGGAGGAGGAGGAGGAGGAGGAGGAGGAGGAGGAGGAGGAGGAGGAGGAGGAGGAGGAGGAGGAGTAGGAGGACCAGTGGAAACCCAAGAGTCATGAACGATGTTGGAATTAACCGTTCCTCCAAGCTCCCTCTTCACAGGCCCCTACAACGGTCATATCCATTGAGGGATCTGCCTCGTTGGAAGACAACACTTTGAAAATCCTGAAGCGTGCCAAAACATTGTTCTCGGGGGTTCAGCGCCACGTAACAACCTGACTGCTGCGTCTTGACGATCCAGAATCGTGCCAGAAAGTCATTGTGGGGACTTCAACATAGCGAATCAACATAATCGTTGCGCCCGCATAATTTTGAATCCTTCCAAAACACAATTTCTGGTACGTTGATCATGGGAATCCGTGAAAACTCTTGCAACTGTTGAAAACGAATGTGCGCGGCGCTAAGGCGAGAGCCACATTCTGAAAACGACCCGCCCTCAACCCGTGAAAGTCTTGCAAATGTTTGAAACGAATGTGCGCGGCGCTCAGGCGAGAGCCACATTTTGAAAAGGAACCGCCCTCAATCCGTGAAGCTCTTGCAAATGTAAGGCGAGGGTCACATTTTGAAAGCGACCGCCCTCCATCCGTGAAATTCTTGCAAATGTTTAAAACGAATGTGCGCGGCGCTAAGGCGAGAGCCACATTTTGAAAAGGAACCGCCTTCAAGCCCGTGAAAGTCTTGCAAATGTTTAAAACGAATGTGTGCAGCGCTAAGGCGAGAGCCACATTTTGAAATCGACCCGCCCTCCATCTGTGGAAGTCTTAGGCGAAACGCCCGGCCCGCCCTAAAAACTGGCCCCGGGGTGCGACAGGGAGAAAGTATGTATAAGGAGAAGGAATGGAGGAGGAGGAGGAGGAGGAGGAGGAGGAGGAGGAGGAGGAGGAGGAGGAGGAGGAGGGAGGGGATGGATCGGGGGCACCCAGGAGGAGGTTTATCGGGGGTACCCAGGAGGGGGGCTTCGGGATCGGGGGCGCCCAGGAAGGGGTTGATCGGCGGTTGATAGATCTCCTACCTTTGCACGTCGATTCGTGAATTGGACGTTTTCGGTTCGCGAGGGGGCATCGAGGCCGTCGTTTTTGCGGGTCCAGATCCGTCGGTTTCGGTCCCAGGCCGTTCTCACTAAAGGGTGGTTTGCAAAAGGGAGGTTTGTCCACCGCCGAGTTGAGGACCAGGGGTGCGTGTGCGTGTGCGGGTGGGCGTACCTGTGTCTCTGTGTGTGTGTGTGCGTGTGCGTGTGCGTGTGCGTGTGCGTGTGCGTGTGCGTGTGCGTGTGCGTGTGCGTGTGCGTGTGCGTGTGCGTGTGCGTGTGCGTGTGCGTGTGCGTGCGTGCGTGTGCGTGTGTGCACTTGCTCTTCGGCGCGCACGCGACGGCCTTCACGGTCTGAGCGTGCCTCCCTCCTCTTCTCTTCATGTTTCTTGTTCGCCATATGTTTGTCCTCTTGATTATGGTTCGTAGTACATGTTATAAGTAGTATGATTGCGATTCGCAGTCTTAGTGTCATCATTATCATTATTATCATTATCAGCATGTTCCCATGTTGTTATCATGTCTTTGATTTTGATGTTTATCATCAGTACTTTTAGTCATTCGTACAACCTTATTCACCTATAATGATTAGTTGTAGCAGTATTAGTGGTCTTCCTTCTTATTAGTAGTACTATGATTATTCGTCTTCTTTTCATGATTCGTCTCCTCCTCCTTCCTCCTCCTCCCCTTCTTCTTACCTGGATTGTTATTGCCCCCCTCTTCTATTTCTTCATGCGCGTGCTCGGGCCACGATGCAAGCCCCCATTTCTCCCCCTCTCGGCGCACCCCACTTCTGCGCCAGGGCGGGGAGACCCTCGTGCGTCGGGGGGCGCAAAGGGGCGCGAAGTCTGGGCCTGCGCCTAGGGAGGCTGGGGCCGCCTCGGGCCGGGGGCCGCCCCTGGGTGGCGCCCCCCTTGCGAGGGAGGACGTCTTCCTGGCCACGAAGATCTCCGACCCCGCCGAGTTCGGGCAGCTGGAGCGGCGCTTCGAGGCCCAGCTCGCCGACCTCGGCACCGACTACCTCGACCTGTACATGCTGCACTCGCCCGGGGGCCGCGAGGCGAACGAGGCCGCCTGGCGCGGCATGGAGCCGCAGGGCCTCCCAAGTGGGGTGCGGGCGGGTGGGGCCGGAGGATCGCGCCCCATCGCCGATGCACGGGCGATGCGGCGCGGTGTGGGGCCCGACGGTTCCCACGCCGACGTCGCCGACGCCTCGCCGATGGGGCCGATGCCTCGGCGATGCCTCGGCGATGCCTCGGCGATGCGGCACGATCCCCCGACCCGATGTGCTCGGACCCCATCTTGAGAGACCTCCAGGAGCGGCTGCACGACAGGGGGGCGGTGCGCTCCCTGGGGGTGTCGAACTTTGGGGCCGCTGAACTCCTGGAGCTCCTGTCTTTCGCGCGGGTGACGAGGCGGGTGGAGAACGCATCGCGTCTTTCCCCCAAGTTCTTTTTTTTCCCAACCATCCTGTGTTGAGCTGGGTTCCCGTTTTGAAGAGACAGCGCCACGCATCCATCCCTCCCTCCCGCCTCCTCTTCACGCTCCTCCTCCTCCCCCTCCTCCCCTCCTCCCGTCGCCCCCCTATTTTGGCACACCACTCACACGTTTCGCGGCCCCATATGGAGCTCCTCCGAAGGCCGACATGCCAGCGCTTGCATGCGCCCACCGCGCCCATTTTGGCACGCCCCTCAAAACGTTGCGTGGCCCCACACGGACCTCCACCGAAAGCCCGCATGCCAGCGCTAGCATGCCCCCGCCGCACCCACTTGGGCATATCCGTCGCGCGCTTCGTGGCCCAAATGCCAGCGCCCGCATGCGCCCGCCGCACCTGGCACACCCCTTACAGGTTTCGCGGCCCCATATGGAGCTCCACCGACGGCCCACATGCCAGCGTATGCGCCCACCGCACCTATTTGGGCACACCTCCTCACGCTTCGTGGCCCCATTGTGAGCTCCTCCGACGGCCCACCTGCCAGCGCTCGCTTGCGCCCACGGTACACATTGTGGCCCCCCCTCACGCGCTTCGTGCCCCCATAGGGAACTCCACCGACGGCCCACATGCCAGCGCTCGCATGCGCCCACTGCACCCCCATGCGGGTTCACTCCTCACACGTTTCGCGGCCCCACAGGGACCCCCACCGAAGACCCAACTGCCAGCGCTCGCTTGCGCCCACAGCACCATTTGGCACACCCCTCACACGTTTCGTGTGCCCATAGGGAGCTCCCCGAGGCCCACATGCCAGCGCTTGTATGCGCCCATTTCGCCCATGTTGGCACACCCCCTCACGCTTCGTGGCCCCGCAAGGGGGCTTACCGAAAGCCCAAATGCCAGCGCTTGTTCGCGCCCGCGGCACAATTTTGGCACACCCGTCACACGTTTCGTGTCCCCATAGGCAGCTCCACCGAAGGCCCACCTGCCAGCGCTCGCTTGCGCCCGCCGCACCCATGTGAGCACACCCCTCACACGTTTCGCGGCCCCATAGGGTGCTCCACCGAAGGCCCAAATTGTTATCGATCGCATGCGCCCGCCGCACCTATTTTGGCACACTCCTCACACGTTTCGTGGATTCATAGGGAGCCCCACCGATCCCCCCCCCACATGCCAGCGCTCGCATGTATCGCCCACCGCGTCCATTTTCATTTTGGCACACTCCTCACACGCTTCGTGGCCCCATAGGGCCCCCACCGAAGGCTCACATGCCGACACTCGCATGCGCCCACCGCACCCATGTTGGCACATTCCGAACACGTTTCGCGGTCCCCCAGGGAGCTCCACCGAAGGCCCACATGCGAATGCTCGCATACGCCCACCGCGCCCATGTCGGCACACCAATAACACGCTTCGTGGCCCCATACCAGCGCTCGCATACGCCCACCGCGCTCATGTTGGCACACCCCTCGCACGTTTCGCGGCCCCATAGGGAGCTCCTCCGCCGGCCAACATGCCAGCGCTTGCATGCGCCCACCGCACCCATGCGGGTTCACTCCTCACACGTTTCGTGGCCCCATAGGGAGCTCCACCGAAGGCCCAACTGCCAGCGCTCGCATGCGTCCACCGCACCCATTTTGGCACACCTCTCACACGCTTTGTGGCCCCATAGAAAACTCCACCGAAGGCCTACATGCCAGCGCTTTAATGCGCCACCGCACCCATGTCGGCACACCCATCACACGCTTCGTGGTCCCATAGGGAGTTCTACCGAAGGCCAAAATGCCAGCGCTCGCATGCGCCCACCGCACCCAGTTTGACACACAACCCACACGTTTCGTGGCCCCATGGGGAGCTCCACCGAATGTGGTGCATACAACGACGGTGCCCACAACTGCACATGGTTGGACCTTCCGCCAGGCTGATTCTTCCTTCTCCTCCTCCCCCTCCTCCTAGTTCTCCTCCTCGTCCTCCTCCTCGCCCTCTTCCTTCTCCTCCTCCTTCTCCTCCTCCTCTCCTCGTCCTCGTCCCTTTCTTATTCCTTGCCATCCTCCATTCCTCCTCCCCCCCTCCCCTTCCTCCTCCACCTCCTCCTCCGCCTCGTTCTCGTCCTCGTCCTTATCCTCCTCCTCCTTTTCCTCCACCTCCTCCTCCTCCTCCTCCTCTTCCTCGTCTTCCTCCTTCTCCTCCTCCTTCGCCTCCTCCTCGTCCTCTTCCTCCTCCTCCTCCTCGTCCTCCACCCGTTTATTTATAGATAACATCTCCTTGTCGCACCTTGGGGCCAGTCGGAAGGGCGGTCCCGGCGTTTCGCGTGAGATTTCCTTTTCAGTGTTGATCTTATCCCAGGAATGGCATGCGGATGTCCTGTCTTGTCCTGTTCTCCATCTCCTCCTCCCCCCCCTCTCTCCCCCCATCTCCCCCCCCACCGCTCGCTTCAGAGGAGGAGGAGCAGCAGCAGCCACAGCAGCAGCAGCAGCAGCACAGCAGCAGCAGCCACAGCAGCAGCAACAACAGCCGGCACGGGCGCAAGCGCACAAGCAGCAGGCGCGCGGGAGCAGGAGAGGAGGCGGAGAGTGAGAGGAACACGTCGATGTTCGGAACCGTCAGGCCCTCCTCTCCTAAGGTCGAAAGACTGGGTGGGTTTTGTTGATCGACCTCCAGCTATCGCGTAGTCCGCAAAGGGTGCGGGCTCGCGCTTGTACGCCCGAAGACATGCACGTGGTGTTTGGCATGGCTGCCAATCGGAGAATTTAGAATTCATGGTGGATTTCGCCGGCAGAAGCGTCGCCGACTTTCGTAGGGCTCGGAGAGCGTGAGGAACCGCCCAGGTGAAGCCGGTGTACTTGCAGAACAAGTTCAGCGTCTACAGCCCAGGAGAGCAGCAGGTCGGCGACGTGGCGATCTTGGCCCTGGCGCGGGAGCACGGCATCCAGGCGAGCCCTGGGCGGAGGAGGCCAGGGAGCGGGAGGGAAGTCTTGCATGCCGGGCTGGGTCGCTCGCAGGGGCGCTGAGGTAGCCGCGCCTCTCGGCAGGATCGGCAGGGGTGCGGAGAGAGCGGTGACGAAGATTTGACAGCAGTGCAGGCCCAATCTGGACAGGGACTGCTGTCGGTCTCGCCGCAGAGGGTCTTCCTTCGAGTTGAGACGAGGCGTCGCCTGGCCGGCAGCGGCCGCTGGCGACCTCGGGCAGCGCTTGCTGCTGGGCATCGTGCCCCCCTCATCCCATTCCCCAGCCCGGGCGTCCAGAGCCTCGCGGTGCTAGGCCCCCACACGGGGTGGTGACCACACCGTGCGGTGAGTCGGTGGGGATTCGGGGTCACCGCACGGTCTTGGGGCTCGGGTCGTTCTCCGAGGACGTCTCAGGCGGCTGGGGCCTCCGAGGGCCCAAGACCGTGCGGTGACGGACCGCGCGGTGAGATCTCGGGGGATCTCGAGGCCACCACGCGGTCCGTCACCGCCCCGCTTCGGGACTCCAAAATAGGGCGCTGGCCTTCCCCGGGGAGCGGCGCCGAGGCGCGGGGCAGCGCAAACGTGCCACACCCGCGCGGTGCTGGAGAGCCGCCCTCTCCCCGGGGGGGGGCTTCGCCGGGGCGCGGAGGCGGCTACGCGCGCCTCGCGCGGCGCGGAGGGCGGAGATGTGCGCAGCCTCGGGCGGCGTCGGCCCGCGCCCGCGCTGCCAGGCCATGCCGAAGCACGCCAGGCGCCCGGTGTCGCCTGTGCTCTCCCGCCCGGCGGCGGGCTTGGCACGGGCTGCCAGTGGCGATCCCTTGGAGCGAGGGTAAGAGTCCCCTTCTTGGGAGCGGCTTCCTGGCCGCCGTTGGATCCCGTCGGAGGAGGAGGAGGAGGAGGAGGGGGAGGAGGAGGAGGAGGAGGAGGAGGGATGAGGAGGAGGACTATGATGATGATGATGAGATGATGATGCTGATGATGATGAGAGGAGGAGGAGGAGGAGGAGGAGGAGGAGGAGGGGTGAGGGGGAGGAGGAGGAGGAGGAGGAGGAGGAGGAGGAGGAGGAGGAGGAGGAGGAGGAGGAGGAAGGCGAGGAGGAGAGGAGGAGGAGGAGGAGGGAGGTTTTAGTGGGGGCGAGCAGGAAGGAGGAGGGGGAAGGAGAGGAGGCGGGAGAAGGGGGAAGGCCGGGGCTGAGCGTAGAGGGGTGAGGAGGAGGAGGAGGAACAGGAGGAACAGGAGGAGGAGGAGGAGGAGGAGATGATGAAGGGGGAGGAGGACTATTGTAAATCAAGACTCATGAACGATGTTGCAATGAACCATCCCTCCAAGTTTCCTGTTCACAGGCCCCTGCAAGGATTCATGTCCAATGATTGCAGTGGCCCGTTGGAAAATAATCGTCTGACAATCTTGACCTGCGCCAGAACACCATTCCTTGGACGTCGACGCCTCGAATCAACACACACACACACACACATGTTACGCCCCGGCAGTCCCACATCGTGACAAGACACCATTTCTGGGACGCTAACCATGAGAATATTTGACATTCTTGTAAACGTAAACGAATGTGCGCGGTGCTAGGGCGAGAACAATTTCAGAAAGGAACGGCTCTCCATCCGTGAAGCTCTTGTTCCCTACATAGGCTCTGCCTAGAAGGGTTCTTACTCTGTAGCTTGAAGGGGCCGGGCAGTGCAACCCGCCCCGGGCGGTTCCCCCAGTCCCCTGGAAGCGGTTCTTCCAGTCCCCTGGGAGCTTCAGCTTTAGCTTCAGCTTTAGTTTAGCTTTAGCTTAGCTTTAGCTTAGCTTTAGCTTAGCGTTAGCTTAGCGTTAGCTTAGCGTTAGCTTAGCGTTAGCTTAGCGTTAGCTTAGCGTTAGCTTAGCTTTAGCTTAGCTTTAGCTTAGCTTTACCTTAGCTTTAGCTTAGCTTTAGCCTAGGTTTAGCTTAGCTTGAGCTTAGCTTGAGCTTAGCTTCAGTTTAGCTTTAACTTAGCTTTAGCTTAGCTTTAGCTTAGCTTCAGCTTAGGTTTACTGTTACTACTAATGCTGCTGTCCTAGGGGCTCCAACTCCTAGGTAGGGTCGCACTGGGATAATTGTTTTGAGGCGACTGTGCGCGGTGCGAAGGCGAGAGCCACACTTGGAAAATTGGCCGCCCTTTATCCGTGAAACTCTTGCAAGTTTTGACGACGAATGTGCGCCGTGCTAAGGCGAGAGCCACATCTTGAAAACAACCTGCCCTTATCCACCAGACTCTTGTAGTTTTTGACGACGAATGTACGCGGTGCCAAGGCGAGAGCCACATCTTGAAAGCAACCCGCCCTCATCCGCAATATTCTTGCATTTTTGACAACGAGTGTACGCGGTGCCATGGCGCGAGCAACATCTTGACAACGACCTGCCCTCCATCCCTGAAGCTGCTGGAATGCTTTAAGACGGATGTGCGCGGTGCTGAGACGAGAGCCACATTTTGAAAACGATGCGCCCTCCACCGGTGAGGCAGTTGCAAATTTGAGCTTCAGGATCACCAATGGTGAGGAAGGCTCATGCGAAACCTTCCGCCCGTCCTTTCGACCAGCCTCGGGGTGCGACAGGCAGGAGTTATTTACAAGGAAGAGGAATTGAGGAGGAGGAGGAGGACGAGGAGAAGGAGGAGATGGAGGTGGTGGTGGGAGATGGCGATGAGGAGGATGATGATGACGAGGAGGAGGAGGATGAGGAGGAGGAAGACGAGGACGAGGAGGAGGAGGAGGAGGACGACGACGACGACGACGAAGAGGGGGGTACTTGGATAAAGCGAAAGAATAAGTTTGGGAGATGGAGGGATGGATGGGAGGGAGGGAGGGAGGGAGGGAGGGAAAAGAGGAGGAGGAGGAAGGACGTCAAGACGAGGGTGGGCAAGCAGGAAGCATAGGGGGAAAATGGACGCCGCCAAAGTGTACTCAAGTGCCTCCCGTACTGACCCGGCGCGTTCCAGAAGTCCTGGCAAGTCTGGCATGCGCAACAGGTACCCCCGCCTCTCCTTCGACTGCCCCTCTCGCCCCCCTTGGTTTTTCCCTCTCGCGCCCCGTTCCCTTCCCGGACGTCCCTTCACAAGTACATAATGTGAATATTTCTCTCCTGTCTTTCCTGGTGGCGTCCGGGAAACATTCGGCCCCCACCGCGCATTTTTTTTTTTGCACAGGGTTCCCGGGAGTTGGGTTTTCGCTTGGTTTGTTGTTCAAAATGTTGCTCTCGCTGAAGCGCTGGCCTTATTTTTGGGTTACCGCTCATTCCGAATCGTGCTCCCGCTGCAGCGCTGGCCTCATTTCCGTGCTTCCGCTCGTTCCGAATCGTGGTGCCGCTGCAGCGCTGGCGTCATTATTTCCAGCGCAATGCCACGGCATGGTTTTCGGTCATTCCAAATAGGCCCCAAAACTAGAAAATGGCCTCCCGAAAAAACCATCGGAACTGATGACACATTTGGTGTCGATTCGTTGTTTTTTGTTGGCCGCAAAAGCCCCCCACCCACCACTTTGGGGCGTCGCCACGCCATACTATGTCAGGCTACGCGTCCTCATTTCCGCGTTTCCGCGTTTTTTTTTTTTGTTTTTCTCTAAAAATGCTGCTCTCGCTGAAGCGCTGGCCTTATTTTCCGGCTACCGCTAGTTCCGAATCGTGCTCCCGCTGCAGCGCTGGCCTCATTTTCGCGCTTCCGCTCGTCCCGAATCGTGCTCCCACTGCAGCGCTGGCGTCATTATTTCCAGCGACATGCCACGGCATGGTTTTCGGTCATTCCAAATAGGCCCCAAATCTAGATTTTCCCAGTGCGTCCCTACCTAGGAGTTGGAGCCCCTAGGAAAGCAGCATTAGTTGTAACAGTAAAGCTAAGCTACAACGAAGCTAAAGCTAAGCTAAAGATAAGCTAAAGCTAAGCTAAAGCTAAAGCTAAGCTGAAGCTAAGCTGAAGCTAAGCTAAAGCTAAGCTAAAGCTAAAGCTAAAGCTCCCAGGGGACTGGGGGAACCGCACCCAGGGGACTGCGGGAACCGCCCGGGGCGGGTTGCACTGCCCGGCCCCTTCAAGCTACAGAGTAAGAACCCTTCTAGGCAGAGCCTAGGTAGGGAAAAATGGCCTCCCGAAAAAACCATCGGAAGTGATTACGCATTCGGTGCCGATTCGTTGATTTGTTGTGCCGCAGAAGCCCCCCCCCCACTTTGGGGCGTCGCCACATCAAGCTATGTCATGCTACGCGTTGATCTTCAACACCATGCTATGCCATGTGCGACATCCGATACGTGCCATATTGCGACATCAGATATGACGCGAGCGCACCTAGCTTGCCACCCCCTCCCCCTACCTCCGCCCCTTTGTGTCAGGAGGGGAAAAACACAGGCACAATTCATCGTCGATTCCCAGGAAAGTATGGGAAAATGTTGGCAGTGGGGGGAAGACGAAAACCCAGAAACTATGGAAACGTATGGGGATGCCTGGGATTTGCATGTTTTTTTTAATGTGTGTGTGTGTGTGTGTGTGTGTGTCCTTGGGCCCCTTTACTGTGGACAGTGCACCTGTTCCCCCTCCTGCCAGGGCCGCCTCTGGAGCTCGCTCAGGATCTGTCTTGCGGCCTCCTCCCAGCGCTCCGTCCAGATCAGGCGGCCCAGGTCGCGTCGAGCCGTGCCGATGCGCGGGCTCCCCCTGGCGACCAATACCTTGGCATCGCTCGGACGTGTGGTTGATTCCTTCGGCGGGGACCATCGAGGAGCATCCTTGATCATCTTGCGAAAAACCACGCACGAAACCAAAAAAAGCACAGGGAATGGACGTCCGAGCGATGGCCAGATACAGGATCCCGCAAGGAACGGGAGGGCCCAAGAGATGCGCCGGGCTTGTGCGCGACCGCCGTGGCACTGCGTCGAGCAAGCGCAAGGAACCGAGCCCCTCTCGGAGCCCCGTGCCGTAGACCAGCCGCCTTCATCGACAAAACGAACCCGCACGTCCAAAGTCTGAAGGAACATCAGGGGGGCTTGCCGCTAAAAAGGCAGCGGAACGCATGAAAATCAAAGGAACGGCCGAGCCCTTTTTGAAAAGTAAGTGTTCCTTATTCAAGCCGGATCCTGTGTTGGAAACGTAAGACCAATGTTGGAAGCATGTAGTGGCATGTGTGTGCCCAGGCCCATGCAGGCAGATATGCAGGATGTGTGTGTGTGCGTGTGTGCAGTGTTGTTTGTGTGTTGTGTGTTTAGTGCGTGTGTGTGTGTTGTGTGTGTGTATGTTGCGCGTGTGCTATGTGCGGGTTGTGTGTGGATTATGTGTTTTGTGTGTCATGTGTGAAATGCGTGTAGTTTATGTGTGTGTGCGTTGTTGTTCTTATTGTTGTTGTTGTTGTTGTTGTTGTTGTTGTTGTTGTTGTTGTTGTTGTTGTTGTTGTTGTTGAACATTATTACTTCTAAAGAATAATTATTGTTGGGGACCCCTGGGCACGGACCCCCCGCCGCGCCTAGGCCGCAGCTCATTTTCATCATTTTTTCGTGAGGAAGTTCTAGGCACAAAACGGGGGAAGTCCGGATCGGTGTGTTGTTACGACGGTTTTTCCCTTGCAAAAAATAAGCTAAAGGGGGACATTTCTTGTTTCTAAACAGAACCCAAATTTCAAGAAATCCCTTGCAAAAAAATTAGGGTAAAAGTGGACATTCGCGGCGCGCAAGACGAAATCCTTCCAAAAAACCTTAGTTTTCGTAAACGATTTGTAACATAAAAACATATAAAACAACCAATGGTAAAAAAAAAAACTTGCAAAATTCATCCCGCGCGCTCTGCGGATTCCGTAGGAAAACCCAACCACTTTTTAAACATTTTGTCAAACGGGGCTTTTGCGAGCAACTTTCCCCCCCCTATCCGTCACTGTTTTCGCGCAAACTTTGCAGAGCATCAACCCTGTCAAACAATTACCAGCGGGAACATTCGTTTTTTCTTCGCGCGCGCACGCCGTCGTCGTCGGCCGCGGGGCCCTGAATAGTAGCCACGGTCGTCCGCATGCCACGAAGTGAAGTGTCCGAACGTCATAGGGCGGGAAGCTGGGTGTGGGTGGTGGCGAAGAGTCGTTTGGAAATTTGGTAGAGATTGAACCGGCCCCCCCACAAAGTGGGGGTATTGCCCGCCTCCTATGAAAACCTTGGCACTGGTGAGAACGGAGTGTCCCCACGTGCTAGTAATTGTTGTTGTTGTTGTTGTTGTTGTTGAACATTATTACTTCTAAAGAATAATTATTGTTGGGGCCCCTGGTGCACGACCCCCCCGCCGCGCCTAGGCCGCAGCCTCATTTTCATCATTTTCGTGAGGAAGTCTCAGGCAAAACGGGGTATACCAGATCCGGTTGTTTTGTTGTCCCCCGTTTTCCCTTGCAAAAAACAATATAAAATGAAATCTCTTGTTCTAACATAACCAAACTTCAAGAATCCTTTACAACAAATGACACGAAGTGCACACTCGCGCGCGCAATATGAAATCCTTCCAGAACCTTAGTTTTCGTAGCGATTTTAACATAAAAACATGAAAAACCCAATGGTTTTTCAAAAAAAAAGTTTCAAAAATTCATCTGGCGCGCTCTTGCGGATTTCTGAGGAAACCCAATATTTTTTCAACATTTCTGTCAAACGGGCTCTTGCGAGCAACTTTTTCACGTGTTTCGAACTTCTGCAACAACGGTCGCGCGCATGGCAGGGCCATCACCCCTGTCAAATAATATCATATTGGGCACATTCGTTTTTTCTTCGCGCGCGCACGCCGTCGTCGTCGGCCGCGGGGCCCTGAATAGTAGCCACGGTCGTCCGCATGCCACGAAGTGAAGTGTCCGAACGTCATAGGGCGGGAAGCTGGGTGTGGGTGGTGGCGAAGAGTCGTTTGGAAATTTGGTAGAGCTTGAACCGGCCCCCCCACAAAGTGGGGGTATGCCCGCCTCCTATGAAAACCCTGGCACTGGTGAGAACGGAGTGTCCCCAGTCTTAAATGATTGTTGTTGTTGTTGGTGTTGTTGTTGTTGTGTTATGTGTGTGCATGTGTCTATGTATGTACGTGTGTACGCGTGTACGTGTGTGTATGTGTGTGTGTCTGTGTGTGTTCTCTGTGTGTGTTCTCTGTGTGTCTGTGTGTTGTTCCAGGGTGCTCGATTTGGGGAGGATGTCTCAGGCGAAACGGCCTTTCTGAAAGAACCATATTCAGAAGGGGCTCGATGTTTGGAGGATGTCTCCGGCGAAACGGCAATGTTCTAAGAAACGTGCTCGAACTCATTGAGTTCTTCCATGTGCTTAATACTTAATGTTAATATGTTTGAAAGCATGTGTTTCTGAACTCTGACATCACGATCTGCGTGAGGGGTGCCACCCATTGTCAGAAAGTTGATGATTTTCCCATCGAGACGACGGCATACGCATAAACTTTTAGCGCTCCGCGCGGATTTCTTGGATCCGCGCTGGGCCCTCCCGGCGGCGCTTCCGGCGCCGCCCCTGGCGTGCTCCGCGCGCCAGGGAGGGGGGCCCAGAGCGGACCCAAGAGATCCGCGCGAAGCGCCAAAAGTTTATGTTGATGCCGTTTTCTCCTTACCAGAGAACACCTGAACGGGACGGCGCAGCGATCGCCTTTGCGCGCCACTCCCCCAGAGAGAGGTGCGCACATAAACCTGAGCCGCTCCCCCCCCAGGGAGGGCGCGAAGGTCATGACCGCTCGTCGTGTGCTCCGCGGCCCGGGCCGCTGGGCTCCTTCTCCCGGGGATGGCCGCGAGGGGGCGCGGGAAGAGAGCCGCGCAACGTGGGGCGCGAGGCGCGAGGTCGGGCGACGTGTAGTGAAGTCGGGCGTGTCCCTCTACCGGAGGAATATTCAAGAACAGTCAAAGAAATAATCAGGGGCGAGTTTTTCTTATTATTTCTGGCAATGTTTGGGCATGTTTGGATTATTTGTTATTTTTCATCCAAGCTCCGCCTGTAGGGGGACATGCACGACCCAAAGATAACCGCGCAGCGCGGGGCGCGATGCGCGAAGTTAGGTGACCTACAGTCAACCCGCATGGCAAGGATGTGCAGCCTTGCCAAGGGTACCCTTGCGCCTTTGCCTCCTCGGTCCATCCTTGGCCGCTTACGCTGGCCGCGCCCCGCTCGAAATGGGCGTCCAAGGCCCCTGCATCCTTATCGCGCGTCCTCT